ATTTAATTGTATTTTTAATGAATTAACAATTGAACGTTTCGAGAGAACGTTTGAACTTTGCAAATATTGACGTCTAACAAAAGTATCACAATTATTTTAATAGAACGATTAATAATCAATTATTGAATTACATAACTCTATCCAATATGGACTATTTGTTGTTTACAAATAATTACATGAATAAAATTAAATCCTCATTATTTCCATATAAATATTGAAAATGTTTCTCTTATGTATAATAAGTTAGACTGCAGTATGAATAACACAAATAAATAAAAAGCGCCAAATTATGGATCGCGAAGCTGGATCTTGTGTTACCTATGTAATAATATTTCTATGTAATATTTTCAAGTAATGTTTAAAAATATTTCTTCTCAAGCAGGACAAGTTACAATAATATCAAAAAGATGTTAAAATGAATCGTAACTGATTGAAAACTAACTTTTAGAGTTATTGTAGAGTTATTATTTTAGAACCATTTCGATATCATGATGACTTCTATTTGATGCGGATTATTTTGAATCTGATCATCAGTTTTCACTGTTAAATTGAACAAAACGCAACGCTTAAATAGTCCATATTGAGTATAATTATCTTAATTAAATCAGAAAACGCTAAAATCATGTATTATCCGACTTATTCTGAGGACGAATGATTCCGACGACTAAATGCCGGAAATCCGAAAGAAGTAGATCAAGTTTTTCACCCACTCCAGTGCCTGGGAGGGGATTCTCGGTGTCAATCGATATTCCATTAGTGAAGCAAGCGCTAAATAATAGACGGCTCATTCGTCGTGAGAAAAAGTGGACTTGTCCGGTTTTTTTGTGAGCGAACCGCAGTTGTCAGAATCAAAACCCGCGTTGCTAGCCGAGAGCCAGTTCACCCCGCAAGTTCGGCCGCTCGCGGTTTTTTCACGTTGATACATTTTTTCACCGAAACTTCGCAACACTCAACAAACTCTCGCGCGGCCGAAAGGAAAGAAGGAAAAAGAGCGAAAACACACCCATGGTCGAGCATCCCGACAATTAATGTTTAGGTTTCGAATATGATTTCCCCCGACAAAAACGTTAGACCTTATACAATTTTTGTACTTATCTCCCCGTCGATTTTTTCCTTCTCCTCTCTTTTCTATTTCCAGAGATTCTCAGAGAAAAACATAGTGGTAGCAGCTATAAAAGTGACTATACAAGTTTTATACGTAGAAATAATACGAATAAATGTACATAGTTGAATAAATTGATGCATATAGTTGAATAGACTGTCTTATGGTTGCAATAACTATAAAGTAGTTTATTCAATTACACATACATGGAACTTATGAAATACCATTTTATTTTATTGAAGTAATTCATTGTCAGTAGATATTCATGTGACATAACTACAAGTTGGTACAAGTTCGTTAGCCATAGAGTGATACTAATTACAGATAGACATTCTTCGAATATATAGAATAAATGCTTTTACAAAAAACTGAAGAAGGAAATATGATTAGAGTTATGGAATAAAAGAGAAGATGTGGAATACTATAAGTACATAGTATTAAGTATTTATATCATATGTTGCGTATACATTTCATTACTAGTTCAATTATATCATTGAAAGCCATATTCAAGGTCTCCAAGCTATAGACTGAATTATAAAATCAATATCAATGTACTTCTCAAAATTACACAAGAAATATATTCCAGTGATTACACTGAAAAAAGTTTCTAGTTGAAAATGAACGAGCCAGCATATTTTGATCATAATCAAGAATCAGAATTTTGATAATTATTACTTGGCTATCTCGACTAGAATTAGAATTCTAATAGATTTAATCAGAAAATCTGATTTCTGATTTATCTACTTTCCACTTGAATCCCAATTAATGAAATCAAACATTTTTTTAGGCGTAAATTATACAAGATATCGTAATATTCCACAACTTCCATTACTTATTCCATAATCATCTTATTTGTACAATAATTCTACTTATAAAACTTGTATAACTGTTACTTTTATATTGCCATTATATTTTTTTCTCCAAATGAATCTCCCTAATTCATTTGTCTAACTAGCTGTA